CTTATACCTCAACTTGTCCTTTCTTGGACACAGGACTGTGCACAGTAATATGCTGAACTCTTTAGAAGCAGTGCTATCATTATTCATAATGCTGTTAATTGTAAAATCCTGTTGATTAGCACAGAGGGCCAGCTACCATAGAACACTTTTTTTTTTTTTTTTTTTCCTCCTGGAGTAATTCATTTGCATGGAGCACTAGCTGCGGGGTATTTGTACATTTCATGGACATCTGTGTGTGCCCCTATGTGCTCTTAGAAGTTTATTCTAAATAAAAGGAGTCTGGCATAGCCCTAAAATACTCCTTTGTATGCTGAACCCTGTCAGATATTAGCCAATACTTCAGAAAATGTGCATGTTCCTTCAGGTCTTATTCTGCTACAAATATACTTTGATTAGGACATTATTAATTATTATTAAGGGTTCATGACTGGTTTTAGTCTATTAGTAGGCCTGTTCTGACATAAAATCAGAAACAAAACAGAGAATTTATATAGATCACAGAATATATAATTATCTGTGCTTATCTAAATGTTATATCACTCCTTCCCTCAATTTTTCCAGAATAGAAATTTTGGAATGTAACTATAGATTTTTATACTTTCAGAAACCTGGAAACGAAAATTCACAGATGTAAAAAAAGAACAGTCGAAAGAATGAAGAAGAGGGAGAAAGAGAAGAGAGCAGGTACTCTAAACCAAGTTCTCTGTTACATTAGTGCAACTAACAAAGTGTAAAAGAAAATATTTGGTGTAGTATGTGTATATCATATGATCATAAGTGGCATAGAAGCATAAGGGAGAAAATACAGTATTTATTCTGCAGTTTAGTTATTTTGGAGTGATTAGCTTTAAAAAATAAATTTTAATACTAACATTACTCTGCTTTACGGTTGGCAGTGAAATACCGTTTTTGTGTGTGTGAAATGCCTTTGAATATTGAATTTCCCAAAGGTATTTATTAACATATACTCCCTTTGAAGACATAGCCTGCTGTTTCTTACTAACAGTATAAGTGTGCTTTTCTAGAGCATACCAAAAGAATACCAAACAGATAGCTTTTAAAAGGCATATATTATGTGTTCGGCATAACTTGAGTGATACTCCCTTGCACAAGCTTGATGTAATCAGATCTAGCAAACAGCTAGTGAGGTGGCTGGGTGAGTTCTCTTACTTGTAGCCAAGCTGTCGGCAGACTACAGCTGCATCCTGATCAGACCATCCGTCATCACAAATTGTTCCCCACTGGCCATTGATAAAAATCTCTACACGTCCTTCCTTCTTATTCTCACCATCCATCAGCCTGATGGGAGGGCCTGGGAATAAATTGCCATTGTCAATCCACAAGAACAGAAGTACAAGAACAAGTACATCAGTTCATTTTGATCACGTTCAGGGTGAAGGGTCAACTCATGTTTATGTTCAACAAGCCTGAAATTGGTTGTTAAAGTAGTTGCATATTCTACCCTGGCTGGCAAAAGAAGGCAGTGTTTACCAGTTACAATGCAATATGAAACAGTACGTTGTGCCTGCAATTTGAATTTCAGAATTCATCTTGTAACACCATTTCATATAAATATGGGGCATAGCCCAGAATTCGACTGAAAAGACACAGACCAGTTCTCTTACTAATGGCAGAGAACACCTAAGGTGTATGGTATCTTTCCAGGCTGAATACACTTTCCTTGCAGCAACTTTATGGATGATTTTAGCCATATTTCACTTCATAAATCCACGTGCCAACTGTCTACTGTCTCTCCTCTTCCTCCTGTCTCAGCAGAACTGTACAGCTTTGCGTTGAACTTTTGCTTTTGGCTATTTGTTATACTTGATACTTCGTATCATGTTTTGTGTGATAGCATGATATTCTAGATATTTTACAACATGTTATTCGAGTATATGACATATAGTTTGCCAGTATTTATAATTGAATACTTTGTCAAATATAGTCAAAAATCTCATGTGGATGTTTATGTTAAGACTCCTTCATAGCATGTTAGCAATCCAAGTGTCCTTAAAACAGTTGTGAATTACTTTGAGGACTCTTTAGAGAGTTTAAGTGAGAATCAGCTTCTAAGTCTTGTAGTATGCCATACTTTATAATCCTTAATACTCCAATTAAAGCTTCTTTTCCTGAATAATTTAAAAGACTGTTCCTCATCATCTTCACATAAGTGGAAGATAAGTAAGTTCATTACCTAATGAAATATTATTCTAGACCCGTAAGGATGAGAAATTATTTAATCCTGCTTTAAAATAAAGCAGCATTAGGAGACATTTGCATTTGAAATTTAATTCAGATTAAATCAGGTTATGAATAAATTTTGTAGACCTAACCTTATTCTGGAGTAAAGCTGGTTGAACATGGCTAAATTCATTGATTAAAAGAAGAAGGGCTTTAACATAAAAATACAGTGCTTTTGCTTCAAATATAACTTACAGTTTACACTGTAGTTTATACTGTCTGTGCTGTTATATTTATTAATTTCTCTAACTTTCTGTTTAATTGTAATTTCAGGATCTCATGGTAACATATTTTGTCATTATTGTAGTGGACTGTATTTCATTTTTAGTATTCCTTAACATTTGCATTTCCTGAAGTTATATCGTCTATTCATTTCTCATATTTTTCTATAGAATTTATCTTCAAAGGGAGAAAAAAAAATGCTTTTTCAAGTATTGTGAAGTAAGGAGTAACAATAGAGTCCTTGTCCCCTGTCCAACCAGAAAATTTACAGGAAATGTCTTCAGCATCTTCACTTTCCTGTTGAAATGCTGTGGCTTTCTGGAAGAATATTTGGGTGTAAATTATACTACCCATATAGAGCCACAGGATATTAGTGGTACAATGTATCTATTATTATTATTGTCTCTTTTTTAATATATCTATCTGTGAGCAGGAAATAAATATGATTTTCTGGTAATCAGGGATATGAGAATGTTACCATATGGATGCGTTTAACTGAACCAGACCTCCTTCAACTAAGATTATGTTTTATAGGAATTTGAGCAAGCAGCACAGATGGTTTGCATCTGTAAAGGCAGCAGTCATAATGTGAATCCATGTTATTTTGGGTTTGAAAGAATTCTTTTTACCAAATGTGATTCCAGTTCATCTACTAATAATGAAACACTATTACAATATAAAATGTTCTTTGGATGGTTAGAGGTCAGAAGGCTTTAAGGAAGAGACTAAAAAAGTGTGCATGCAAGTGCTGGAGGTTATAGGAACAGGTAGCAATATAGTGAAGTAAATTCATATTTTAGATTGCAGGATAAGCCCTCAGTCTGGGAACCTAGCACAGTACTAGGACTAGGTACAGAACCTAGCACTTCTCTCAGATCTGCATCCACAGCAATACTCATGTTGTGAAATTATCAGAGATACTTTACCGAAGGAGAGTTTATGGCTGTCGTTATCTGGATGACAAATTAATCTCACATCCTCCTGATGGCTGCAGTCATGCTTTCCCCACTCCCTTTTTGAGCACTGCAGAATGTTTGACTCCTTCCCTGAGCAGCTGACATCATCCAACCAGATGGGCCCAGAACCTCCTTCCAAGTAGCTCTCGGGACCACTGTTTCCATGCCTACATAGACAGCAGGTATGCATGACGTTTTGATCTATAGTGATCAGAGGGTTTGTGATACTCAAACACTAAAAGAAATAAATTATTTCTGAAAAAATAAATATCTCAAACACAATGTGAGCGGTATTAACAATGACTAAGTACGTTCAGTTAGCATTAAAATCAGTGACAGCACTATATGCTTCTTCCCTGGTACCTTTGATTAAGGCTTTAATTAAACCAACTACAGGTTTGCCTCATTGATTTTGGGATTAAACATTCTTAATATTACACAATTGAATGTTGCATCTGGGATAAATGAGACAATTCTCTGATTATGATGGGTTTTAGCATGAATATAGTTATTACGTCAATGGATTGTGGTATCAGTGAAAGAATAGGCAAGAGAAAGATGGCTTAGTGAGAGCATGTCTTTGTAAGCAGAGTGAGTAGGAAAAGAAGTGAAGAATGAATGTATGGAGCTCTAAAGGGAACTTTTCTAACATATATTTCAAAAAATAAGAGTGTTCTAATTAGCGTGACCATTATGATTTTTTTAGCTAAGTCCAGTAAGCCTGATACCTTCAAAATGTCAGTGTGTTTTAATGGCTATTCCACAGAATAATTTGAAGAATTAAACTTCTAAGGATAAAATTGAATAAAACGAACCAGTTTTTCTGATATGCATTAACCTCAACCAAAAAGATAATTGGAAGGAACTCAGTGAATAAACACTGCTGAATCACTGGCTGAATCGATACAGGATCTTTCTTCTGTGTAAGTCTCAGTCTCATAAATACCTGAGAGAGGCTGAGTGAAGCAGGCTTTAATATTTTTTGATCCAGTAGTTTCTGTAAAAACACTCAGCTAATACATAGAAGAAAAAATGTAGGATTGTATAAATGTCTATCATCATTGCCAAGTCAGAGAGTCAGATACCTAATATCAATGAATCTTACTTAAATCCCAGCTGCCGGCAAACCACCTGTGTGTTCAGCTCGGTCCACCCGTCATCGCAGATCGTGCCCCACTGCCCGGTATAATAGACCTCGAGGCGGCCCTCGTGACTGCCTTTCCCACTTGTTAGTCTTAAGGCACCATCTGTGTCATTGACAAGTAAGGGAAAAGAAAAACAAAAACAAGAATCAGTTTTCCTTAGGTTCTACAAAAGATAGATAGCAACATTACATTTACTGTACATTGGATCAGAATATTTGACTACAGAACCTAATACTGATCCCTTAGGTTGTGTTTGATCAGAAGATGAAAGAATTGTAATGCTTCCAGTTGGTTGTGCAGTGTTGCATAATGCAGTGGGGAAAGTACAAGGGGAAAGTGCAAGATGACCACCCCCCCGGCCCCTATTACATGCCTGGTTCATGGGACAGGACTCTAGCTGCGTGCTTTTGTTATATAAATGCCTTAGCTTTTGCTTCATATATTCTGCTTATTTCCCAGTGTTTGTATTGCTGAAATGTCTATTGTCATTGGTAAGTACAATACAGAATTATGGCAGCATGTGTAATTGTCCTACTTGAAAGAAAATGCCCCCACGTGATAAATGGCAATTAGCAAGTTGATAACGAAACAATGAAACAATAACAAATGTTATTCTTCTGAATAACAAGATTTTCTGTAGTTTTAAAATTTCTATAAGCAGCATCTAATTCTTTGTAATACTGCCAGAACGTTTTACTCCTGTGGGGCTTTATGTGCCTGAGGACTTAAAAAAAAAAATTTCCAGACCTGTAAATTCTGGGCAGACACTTACCACTATTTTCCAGTGTGATTATTCATCATTGGCCTACCTGCAAGAGGTATACAGGAAACACCAGCATCTTCTTTGTGGCCACAGTTGTGTTCTTGCCAGGAGCTTTTAGGACACTGCTCTATAGATAGTTCATTTCCTGTACAACGCACTTCATCCAGCAGCACTGGGCCTGAGCCCTCCCCAAAGCGGGCCTGGCTCCAAGCCTTGGCAACCCCCCTGCGCAAACGTAACAAACACCGAGTAAAGCTGCGGAGTCCTGAACGCAACGGGAACAGCTCTAGTGTTGCACAGCCAGCTTCCAAAATAGCAGGCGGCATTGCCCAACTACTGCCCGCACTGAGGGCACGCAATGCAGCCCATGTTATGTTGCCTGATAAATGTGGTTCTGCAGTCAACTTCTGTCTCTGCTGAGACTAAAAGAGTGGACTTGAAACATACTGTTTCCACACTTCCACAGTCTGAATATACTTATAACATCAGAATCTATTGTACTGGATTTAGGACATTTTCCTTTTAAGCATTATGTTCCTAGAAGAGATTATAGATGTACAGATGGGTATAAGAGTTCTGACCTTAATTTTCATTTAATGCTTATGTACAATAATAATCCTATATCTTTCTATAGTGACTTTCATATGTTGAACTCAAAGTACCTTAATCAAATACCCAGATGAGGCAGATGAAGGTTATTTTGCCATTGTCTTTAAATGACGAAATTAATAAAGAATATAAGTGACTTGATAATGTCATATAGTAAATCAATGGTAGAAATAAGAGCAGAAGGCAGACTAACATCTGGCCTTGTGTTTACTGTAGAATAGGTCTTCTCTTTATGTCTACATAATGGATTCTGAGCAGAAAAACCTACATAAATTGAAAAAGCTCTATTGTTCAAACATTACAATAATTATGTAGTATTTTACACTTGATAATCTATCAGGATTTTTTTTTCAATTCTTAGTCATTAACTTTTCTTCAGAATGACCTTCTTAATTCCAAGTAACATTTTAACAGGTAATGTGTTCTACTACTGGGAATACCAAGAAGAATTCCAGACAGTTCGGAAATAGTATTTTTCCCTGAGATTTGCAAACATTCACTTTCAATTCCAGATAGTTCGGAAATAATATTTTTCCCTGAGATTTGCAAACATTCACTTTGCCCTTAGCCTCCTTTGATTTAGGCTGTTAGGTAACCATGCCTTCTTATATATGACATTGATTCATTGAAGACTTACAGTTCGCAGTGCTGGTCATGGGAAGAGACAAGCCCTCCCTCGCTTCTATTTCATTATGAGCTGCTTTTCTGTTTGGAATTGTGATAATATGCTCTGACTACATGGTAAAGTAAGAAAATATAAGGCACAGAATGCACAAAGGCTAATACTTATTTTGAAGGCTAATTCCTATTCCAAATGTAGTTATCAAATATAAGCATCTAAATAAAAACATCTCAGTTTTCAAATGTTCTCTGTATTTGCATTCCCTAAGATAGGTTCGGTGAATTCTCAACACTGGGCTGTTTTAGTAGGAATGGATAAATATGGAATAAAGAGCCTAGTTTCAAGATAACTTCTTTTTATCAGTTTAACCCTAGATATACTATAGGCTTATTGCAGAATGCCTCATTTAGTGTTAGTTGTTTAGATAATAGTACTTTGAAAAATTCATATGTATATGGTACATATTCATATTATGTGAATATGATACCATATTCATATGCATATGATAAATTATCTTAAGCTTATAGAGTAGTATTTGCATGATGCAAGCTAAGCACAAAAGGAAAATTCTCATACACAGCATCCTATTTCTTGTATATTTTATTCTGCTGCTGTTGCAGATCTATAGATTAAGATAGGAAAAAAAAATCTTATCCATTAGGAACCTGATAGAAATCAAAGAAATAAGCCTTTACTACCCTGAATGTGGAAGACAAATTATACTATAATCTAATGAGATTCTCTGGAGTCCTAATAAAACAGATACCACAAACCCATTATAGTAACAAGGGCTGTTTGCATCTACCAGAAAGTAGCCAAATAATTGAAGTAAAGTAGCCAATTTGTGTAGCCAAATAATAAAATTAATTATAATTATTTTCAGCCATTATTTGAAGACTAGTATTTGGAAGTTTTATTTTGTAGGGTGCTACAGGATACTTGGAAGTATGTGGGAAGTTATTTGCTAAGAAGCCTTATTTTTACAATTTGTCGTATATTTCCAGATTGATTACCAGAATGTAAATTCAGATTGTTTTTGTTACTTCATGACTGCTCTACTTTGTCACTGTTGGTAAATTTCAGTTCACAGATAAGGAGTGTTCTTGTCGAGACATCTTGATTACTTAAGAACTGTTCCAAATCTCTGGATGTGTTTCAAAAAGACTTAGCACTATCTTAAAATGATTTAGCCACCTCTACCTAGAAAACAGAATAAAATTAGGAGAATCTCAGAATTGCAGTTTCTGAATATTAAATCAAGGATTCAAATGTTTTACTGTAATTGGTAAGGAGGCAGGTTAAGAGCACTACATTTATCATTAGTATGGAGAAAATTAAATAATCATTTAGAAACTGCTATAATTATTAATAGTGGCCCAGTAATAGGCTTTTTCTGCTATTGAAATATGATATATGCTTTTTATAAGGTACTCCTAATTGGATATGCAAAGGTATATAGAAATACCCTTATAGCCATTCTACACTAGGACTGAAGGATGTACATTGATTTAGTCCTGAAAGAACACGTTGTACATTAAGGATACAAAGAAATACTAAACAGCACTAGTTATTTGGCGCACAATAAGGGAAAGTTCCTGTGTGGGGGGGAAAACAAACAAAAAATCTTTAATTAAAGATCAATACCTAAAAAGCATTAGTACTACTTTAAACAGGAATATTTTGAAATCTCAAAGCCGTATAGATTACTAAGTTTTCTGCTTTGCTACTGAAGTAGAAAATGTTAGGAAATACCCTAGGCCAAGCTGCCGACAGACGACTTCAGCATCTGCATCATCCCACTGATCATCACAGACGGTGCCCCACTGGCCAGCGTGGTAGACTTCCACTCTTCCTTCATGAGCGTGGCTCCCACCCACCAGGCGGATCGGAATAAACACAGAGGCTGTGATCAAATGCAGAACATAGAAAAGGGTCATTTCTTTCTCAAAATGTTATCCTGATAGTAAAGAAGGAAAAAAAAAAAAAAAAAGGGAAGAAAGAAGAAGGGTGTGTGTTGCGGGGAGACGAGGGAGCACACGATCGTACTTTTACAGATAAGAGTTCCCTTGGGGGATTTTTGCTGCTTCACCCTTTCTCACAACCTGGATCTCAAAGCAACACTTTGCTTGCTAACTATGAAAAAGAAAAGAGCGGTGCCACTAGTAGCTGCTTTTGTGGTGCTGAGGAATTTGAAGTAAATGATACTATGAGTCAGGCTTTTTAATTTCCTGTTCTAAGAAGTCTAATAAAGTGATTTTTTTTCTCTAGTTTAATCATCAGCAATTATGACTACTTTTATATATATAAGTTGAAGAGGTAACCAAAACATATGTGTTTTTCTTTTTTTTTTACCCAAGGAAGAGCTACATGAGACAGCAGCTGCCATTTTTTGAGGACATGCTCCATCCTGCCAGATGTCTTTCTCACATAACAGTATATTTTCTTCATCACCACGGCAACGTACTTCACTCCAGTAAACAGGGGTAAGGCCCAGTCCAGCAAATGGTATGTGTTTTGCTGTACCTTTTTCACTGTAAGAATAAGAATAATCAGGAGAGGACATTAGGAGGGGTGCAAGGAAAATGAAATATTTGTTCCTGAAATCTGTACTTTCCTGGTTCCATATATAAAACTTGGGATAGAAAGAATGGGCTTTCTTCAAAAGGATAAAGTCATTCCATTTTCATGCAGTTGAGCATTGTCATCTTCACTAAGTACCAGATGTGACCCAGTTCTTGCCATTGTGTTGTGGGATATTTTAGTACAACGGTCTGCATTGCTGTAGGGCCAGTGATATTCCTGTTTCATTTGTTCTTAAACACAAAAATCAAAAAAGAGATTTCTGTATAAAGTCCACAGGAGGATCTACAGTACCTTTCCACTGCAGAGGGACTTTTCACATTCCTCTTCTGTCCGCTGTTAGCATTGGCCAACACCCTGCCCACACTCATGTCGTGCAATACCCTTGTATGGCCCTTAGGCAGTGAAGCCGCCTTGTACTCCATTTGGTCAGGTCTGTTCCCTGTTTAGCCATTGCCATCCATCCATCCCCAGCATATTTAAAAAGAGCTTCCTTTACATTTCAGACTGAGTCTATTATAAGTCAATTATGGACTTTCTTAGCCTCCATATAATGCCCAGTGAAATTTAATTAAAAGCAAAGCTTAAATATTGTAAGAACAAAGGAACAGAAAGATGGAAGCGCCTGAAGAGCTCCAATAATACCTACTGAATTCACCTCATAGGATATAGCTCCAGATAGCTGCCAAACAGGCATTTGGCAGTTTAGATAGTTTGGCAGATAGTTTGGGAGCTCCAGATAGCTGCCAAACAGGCATGGTAGCATAAATTGTTTTGACTGTCATTTAGGAGAGCAGGAGGGGTGGCCTGCTCTGATTGAAGTCATGCCCTGCCATTCACTCTTTATCAGTGAACTGCTTTTGCTACTAAGAGTCTAGTTCAACTAAAATATTTAGCATGTGGAAGGCAAGAAGAACTTAAATGAAAATGAGGAAAGGAGACTTTAGAGACAGCTGAAGGCGTAAGCAAAACCCCAGTCTCCAGATGGCTGAACTTTTATCTCATCTAATCCTCATATTTTTATGAGTTGGCTTGGTGTGTCCAGATTAATACTGAACACTATAAAACAGCTTAGATTTAATTCTGGCTAGCACTCTTAAAAAGTGGAATAATCATTAGGAATGCAAATACAGTACTCCAGCCCTCTAGTGCTTGTAGAAGACAAAATCGCTTCCTTGATGGAAAACTGAAAGAAATATCAGAAAGGCAGTAAAGGCAACCATTCTATGTGGCCTGTGGAGAAACTGCAAACTGAACTGAATGCTAAGAGTGTATTCAGGTTAATTGGGTTGCCTAACCTGGACTGAAATTGTGTACTAGAAGCTGAAATTGTATTTGATTTTTTCAAATCCCTATAGGTGTGGGTATTTTCTTCATTACCAGAGTTTCATCTTACTATTGCAATTACACTATTGCTATAGGTATTTTCTAGAACTAAATGACCAAATTATTTTAAAGGATCCTCTTAATTAACTCTGTTCTGACAGACAACAAACCTTAGGTAAGAGGGGAGCATTTTCTTATTTAGAAATTCTTACTTCAATGACAGCTTAAATATTACTGTTTTTGGTTATACCCTCCAAAATAATTTCTTTGTTTAAATAGAACACTCCCTACTTGTCAGGTAAGAGGCAAATTGTATAGGTAGTGACAGGTAAAACTTAAATAATCAAACAAAAATTTGAAGTATTCTTTTCTCTGAAGTTTTGGAAAGCAGTAAACAACAATGGAAAGCTGTGGTCAATGGGGAGAGTGAGTGGTTAGCATAATGGTGCCTTTCAACCTGTGCAATGCTACTCTAACTTGCTACAATGATTCCATGAAAACATAGTTTCAAAATTTTTCTGGTTTTGGGATGCATTATCATTGTGCAACTCTGAAAGTAAATCATACAAATCATCTGGTTGCATGAAGATAGGCACGGCAAAAATACTACATTTCCCCAAAACCTAGAATGAGTTTCATGCTTCTTGACAGGAGAGAATAGAGGATTACCAAGGTATCCTTATGTTTCTGGGAACCAGGAATATTCCTGTGATTAGAATCTTGTCTTGAGTCTAATTTTGACGACCTTTACCTTTTTGTAGATTCAGTTACTTCACTGGAGCTACTATTGATTGACACTTAGAAAGAAAAGATGAGAACAGAAACTGAGAACAGGATCAGACCTTGTATTTCTGCCTTCATGGACATGTTCCTGATGCCTATTAAAACAGTCTGCATTGGCCCTAAACGTGTCTGATTAAGTCCCAGTTTTTCACATTGAATGAGGATCTACCTTTCCCTGTTCCTCCCACACGTAGCTTTCAAATCAGATTCTGACTCTCATAGTGACTTCTGTGAAATACAGCAAAATTAAGCAAAGAGTTTGAGGGAGAACAGCTTTAAAATGCAAAACAGAGAAGGCAAGAACCTAAGACCAAAAAAAAAAATCAGGAGTTGAAAAATATATTGCCCTTTGCACTGTAACATCATTAAAATAGGCTGAATGGTTTTCTCTCAGACTAAAACTTACCCAAGTGCAAGCTGTCGACATACAACTGTTGCATCATTATTATCCCAATGGCTGCCACAGATTGCTCCCCAGGCTCCGTTCAGATAAACCTCAACAGTACCTTCAAACTCATTCTTGCCACCTTGGAGTCGCACTGACCCTAGTTAAAAGAAGTGAAGATGAATTCTGCAAGAATTTCCATGGCTAGATTAGCTTACGTTAGGCAAAACTTAAATTCAATTTTCCATCTGCAAAGAGAATCCCTGTTTCATGTATTATCATCTTACTTTCTGTTTCTTGGGGGAAGCAGTCGAATAAGTAGTGCTCTGTCATGTGCAACGTTCTTGCACTCTGAGGTACAAAAGCAGATAACCTTATTCCTTACATGGCGAAAATATTTCGATATTTTCACTGAAGTTGCATTGCAATTCTGATGTTTGTATGTGTAGACTACATAGTTGCATCTACCCATAGGAGAAAAACTTGTATAAATGAGTGCTATATTTTTTATCTTCAATATAATTCCATCTGATTTAGAGGAATTAGAAAACAGCCACATGGATTGCATAGCTTCTGCTCTGACCCATATAACATGTCGTGGATGTCAGCAGTTTATTTCAAGCCGAAGAATAAATTTGTTCATACTTGCTCACAGACCAAATACCATTAGATATAAATTTGTTAGGAATCTTTATGCTATTCCCAGACAAAACATTGTGAGTTTTCTTAAGTCAAATAGGTCTGCCAGCAAACTGTTTTGAGAGCTGCACAAAACCTAGAAAATTATTTTTTATATTCCAGTAAGTAAGTAAGCTGTTGAAGGTAACCGAGTGCCACTGATAAAGGTGAGAGTCAGTAATATATATAAAAGCAAGATAAAGGGTGCAGTAATTCAATAGGAAACAATGCATTTCTGTTAAAATACCCAATATAGCATAATCCTGTGCATCAATAGTGCCTGAAATCTCAGTTAATTTATCTGTCTCTGCTCTGCAATCTACTTAAAATCAGATGCTATACCATCATCCAACTTTTTTTTTAGCAAAAGGGGAAAAAAAACTGTTTGTGTCCGCATTCTTTGTCCATGTGTTCACATGTTTTATATGTTCACATATATATAATGGCTAGATCCATTTATTCTTACCCTTGGTTTTCACTCAGACTATGTTCTGTTTTTAATTAAGTTCAATATAGTTTATAAAACCACAAGTCAAATGCTGCCAAATAACTCAAGGAATTAATTAACCTTAAACTTGGGTTTTATGTTCCTTTTTGCCTCCTATTTATTTTCTCAGCAGTAACTTAATTGTGCAGTAAATTACAAACAAAATTTATTAAATTCATGTTACAGACTTAGCTATCATTCATAATAGAGGATTATTAATACTAATAATTAAAACTATACTGTATATGCTTTGCACATTCTTTTTCTGTCTTTCTCTTTTTATTATTTTCCTCTCCATGCTTTTCTGCAATATATAGACAGATAAGACTCTGGAATTTTGTTTTTATTCTTTATGAGATGTTTGTGGGGAAACAGTGAATATTGAAATAGTCCTAGAAAAGTGACATACCAGAGTGTTTTAAAGTAGCTGTCTCCAAAATAAGTGTACTTTTTGTACATGATTGTTTACAGTGCTACATGACACCTATTGAAATCAACACAGTGTTTCCTAAATATACATTACCAGACATTTGTATTCAAATATTTGGATAAGGGAGTACATGAAGGATAAAATTCACTTCTCATGCCTCCATGGTAGAACTGAGCACTGCTCTTCCTATATTTACAGAGTTCAGTGTCAACAGTACAAGACTTTCTCCACAAAGAGAGGATGGTATGAGGGAACTTCAGCACATCGGAAGTTTTTTACCAACAATTAAAAATGAAAGAAATAAAAAATTCTTTGTACCTCTAGTAGAAGCCTCATGGGAGAAGCCTAAAACACAGATCTCACTGTGGACACAGAACACTAAACAAAGAAAACAGCTTCCCTCTACCCTCTTTCCCCGCTTTCCTGTTCCTTGTCCTCACCTTACTTACAAAAAAAAAAAAAAGGAAAAAGCGCGTTCTAAGTAACTTCTGGTTTCCCCTTGGAATAGGAAACAGCCTGCTATAGAGAGGTATCTTTTTTTTAAATTGTGTGTTGTCACCACCAAATGTTTTAGTTTGCCCTTTTCCTTTAGATTTACAGCTGCTTATAGGAACACAAACATCTTCTGAAAGGTATTAGCATGCCTAACAGACTTAGTTCATCTCACAAGAAAATGCAGTGAAGAACTGGCCTTTATCAGATGGGAACAAAAAAGACACATAATGGTTACTGAAGGCAATTTTTAAGACACTTTAAATATTCTCCATTTTCCCCTGAAAAAAAAATCCATAAAGAAATAAAAGCTTGTTTTTACAGATAACTAATATTAGATCTTTTACTATGACAAATGTTTAACATCTATCTGAATACATAGCATAACTCAAATATGGTCTTTGCACTGATGCATTATAAGACAGTGATGATAACTACAGCTAGAATTGACACACTACTGTTTTAAGAAGGTGTTGATACCTACCGTTATGAATAATCTAAAACGTCCGGGGCAAAATCTACGTTTTTTTATTTTTTAAGGAAAAATTTAAGAATTAATGAAAGGTGATATAATTAATATCTTTTTCTAAGTGTTTCTAGTTTGGTATTTCAGCACTGAACCCAACAAGAGTAAAATGATACTGTATTTTATGTGCTTAATATGCATCTTGAAGTATGTATTAGCATATATCATGTGGCCTAAGTCATAATTATGTTGCAATCAAATCTAAGAGCAAACTAATGAGAAAATTATTGCTGCATAGTTTATTCAAATTTTTGCAGTATTTATACCGATAGTTTCTTTCCCAGATTAAGAGTTAATTTTTAAATACATTAATTGTAATGAAACAGGTACCTCATGAAATATAACATAGTAGAACTTGAGAATATAGAATTTCACTTCAGTAGATTATTTTTCCTTTCCTACAGACAAAACTCTTGCTTTATAATGAAACATACATTTATGCTTCATGTGCTAGTTGAAGTTGGAAATCGCAAGCTGACAAATATAATCTACAGTCAGGTATGTTTATACTGTATTACCAAGTTTCTGTTTATTATTCATGACTGTTATTAGGATCTTCATTGCAAGATAATTGGTGGTTACATTGTTAGAGTGAGTGGGAAACACTCTTTTCTTCACAGAAGTAAATAAAAGAAGCAAGAAAATTAATATTTAGCATGATAAACTTTGTTATTTACTTTTCCAATTATATCCTAAACTGAATGCAGCTGTAGTCTCTCTCTCTTAGTAGTTAGAACTGAAAGCCATAGGGAAATTTCTTCAAAAGCAATAATTTCTGCTGGATTTTTTTTCAGGATTCTGCAAACATTACCATGGGCTTTAGATTAAAAAAAAAAAAAAGAAAAGAAAAGAAAGAAAAAAAAATTATCTCCCAGGTTTATGTTGACAAAATCCTTTTGGTACCAAGTGCTGTTATCATCAATTCTAGTAAAACTTGCTTTGAATTTTGCTTAAGTAAAAGTGAAAGATTTCAGAAATCCTAGAGCAAGTGTTCACATTAGGACTTTATCTTATAAACAGGTATGTGGATTTGTGGACAGCAAACTCAGCAAGGGGAGGATGTGAATGCAGGGAGGCTGCCCAAGGCCCCCCCTTTGCCACTCTTTCAATGCCTTTCTTGGCACAAGTCAGAAAGGGGCAGGATCCCCTGTAGGCGGGTGAATTGGCCGTACTGGACGAGACAAGGGCACAGGACCACAAAGCAGGCCCGCTATACATCTGTTAGGACCCATTGGTCTTAAGACAGTCCTGAATATATATATATGTATATATATTTTCAGCCTTATAATGAAGAATGCAGATCTATTCTCTTGACAGAAGCTCATTCATATATATAGATACTCCAAAGAAATTAATACTTACTTTGCACCAAGGTTACTGACGGTCAGTTCAAGTTGTTTACAAAGAGTTTGGTAATTTTAGTTGCTCTGGGATTTGCACGAGTCACAGTCTTTCCTATCTGCTATTACTGTTTAGAAGAGATTAAGTTATACTTGAAATGAAAGGAAGAAAGGGTATCCAATGGTGCTGCTGAGACTTGCTCTGCAACACCTGCCATATAGGCTCAAGATGAGATGCAGAGGGAAAAAAAAAAAAGGAGAGGAAAACCTCTGAGCCAACTTTTAATTAACTCCAAGAAAACAGAAGAACTTCAAAGGATTTGCACTGAAAACAATGAGAGCATCCCACTTTCACTATGCTTTTCCCACATCTAGAGATGCTAGGTAACTTCAAACCCTGTTTTATTTTCCAATTTTCACTAGGAACAAGCATTGTCACGTTGTGTGGTTGAATTGCAAATAGAATGGGGCTCGCTCACACTTTTGCTGTATGTATAAATACTGTATTGCTTTTTCCTGGTGTTGGCTAAGGGTGTGCGAGTAATTTCTTTGTAAACACCTGCATTCAAAGGTCTGCAACTTGGCTGTAAATGTAAATTTCAAAAAAAAAAATGGGATGGGAGAAATAAACGTTACCTCTGCCTTTCACCCTAATGCTGAGTATTCTGAAATTACTTTTTTTTTTTCTTTCTTTCCTAAGATTGTAGTTGACATTTGGAAATCTGAACAAACAGCTAATGTCTGTCTTTCTGCTTTCATTTGCAAGGTCTTACAACATGGGATGATTTAATTTTGTTAAGACTTCTGGAAAAAAAAATCAAGTGATAGAGGAATGCCATAGAAAAGTCTTGTGCTGATATTTCATCTCTGAAGTTTTGGAGTCAAATGTTAGGTAGGTCCAGGCTTTATATCTCAACTAACCATGTAACTTGCAGTATGTCAGTACAAGTTCAAATTGAGAATACATGTACAAGAGCTTGCTCCAGTTAGAGAACGAAATTAATTCATTGGTTTGCAGGAGGCACTTGTAAAAATCTATCTGCACTACAAGCCCAAACTAATACCACTCCAAACTGATGGAAGCTTTCCCTCTCTTGCGGGATCAGGCCTGGAATCAGAGAAATGAATTCTGCTGGCTTCAGCTAAAGTATGCTGACACTCTCTGTGATCAGTGCTGTTGTCTGTCACTTCCCTGAGCAGTGCTCTCAGCCTA